TGGTTAATTCTTCAGTGTTACTGGGCATTAAGTTTGCATTTTAATTTTTTGTATTGGGGAGTAAATTTTCATTTTCATGAACCATCACCGTTGCCATTACTAATTTGTAAATAATATTTCCATTTTAATTTCTGATATTTGCGTTCCAAACTATTATCGCTCAATGAATTATAATTAGGGGTGAGCATTGGGTTGATTCCGGTCTAAAATCGAACTAACACAGAATTTATGATTCAAAATAATTGACCCAACATTGGGCTAAAACCGAACAAATTGAACCCAACAATAACTAACAGAACAAACCTTGAATTTTAATCAAATTATGAAATAATAAAAAATAAGTGGATTATAATTTCAAAAAATGCAAAAAAGCATATTTAAGACATCTATTGTTAAATATGTACATATTTAATTCATAAAAAGTTAAGATTTGCTAAATGCGGATTTTATTAGTAAAAAAATTATCTAACACTTCATTTGGTAAATTAATTAATAAAGAACTAAGGAACCAAAAACCGAATTAAAGAACCAAATCTGATTGAATTAATCGAAAAAATTGATAATTTAAGAATGGGTAACCGAAACCGAAAAGTCAATTATTTTCGTCTTGGGTTTCATGATCGGTTCGGTTATTTTGCTCACCCCTAATCATAATTGATTAATGTGCAAAGGTTAATACATTTTTTTTTGAAATGCCAATTACAAGAGGTAGTTCTCCTCCTCCACGGCTCCACCCGTTCCAACATTTTTGTATGTGTGTTCCACTATTGTAATGGGTAAGAGCATCTCCAATGCAGCCTTCAAATGTTAAAATATAGATGGTATAAACTTTACTGTAGCAATTTTCTTGCTCCAACGGATGTTTCAAAAAATAGAACATCTTTTATAATTGGAGTTAGAGCTTCTATTAATGAAAGGTGCTGCATATACTCTATTTAATAAAAAATTATTATAATTGGAGGAGAGAAGGGAGTTTGTGGGGATATGGTTGGAGTTTGTGGATGAAAAGAGAGAAGGCACTGTACATATGCTATAATAGAAGCACACGGTTGGAGCAAGTGGATATTTAATCTACTGTTCAAAAGCTAAAAAGCATTATAGCAGTTGGATTTTAACTTCTTCCGTTGGAGATGCTCTAAAGACCTTTTCAAATAGGTCCTCATAGTTCACGCTGACCTATTTGAATAGTTAAGTGTCTATTTGAATAAGTCAATGATATTGTTCCAAATAATAATATAATTGAATGCGAATGTACTTCACACTTTCTAACTTGTTTGAAAAATTATAATATTTTATATCTGATTGCTAAGTTAATCCAATTATCCAAAATAGTCTAATGACACTAAAATCACCAATAATATCCACATGAAGAAAATGATCATATTTTACTCATGTGCCAAACACGTGAAATGAGTAAAATAATATTTGGCAAGGTCTTCTATTTTAACGTAAATATTCAACAAGGTCCCTGTTTTTATGTAAATTTTCTTAGTATTTTACACAATAATATAATACGGAGTATAATATAACTAATGGAGTTTTTCTTATAGTTTGCTCATGTTACAATAACTTTAAGATTAGTTCAATGTTACTCATACTTTTTATCATAACTTTTTTTAAATAGTCAATTTAAATAAAATAGTAATTCTATTGGGGTCTGTTTGGTACACGGAATTGATGAAATTAGAATTGAATTGGAAGTTAAAATTCTATGGAATTGGTTTGGATGGAATTGAATCCCCAATTCCAATATATTTTTGGCACTACTAATTCCAAATTCACATATTTTTGTGATACCAAACAACAAAATTGAAATTGTTGTCCTAATTCCAGTTTCATAATTTAAATTTTGTATACCAAACGTAGCCTTAATGTTGTTTCTTACATTTCTATTCAATACTAGTTCAATGTTACATTTTTGTTTTCTATCACAAAAATGATATTTTTTACAAAGAATGGAAGAACTTTTTAAACATTCTCTACACTTTTTTAAAATGTCGTCGTTTACTATTTTTTCTTATAAAAAATATATATGGAAGATTTGAAGGTCGGATTTTTATCCACAATAGTGTATGAAGTATCTTTATCCTTAGTGTTGTACGGAGAACTCCAATAGTATTATTTTTGGCGTTTTAATTTATATTTTAAACATGCATGTTTTAATTATGGTATTGATACTATGTTAAAAAATTTTAAGTATAAATTGATAATGTTTATGCGTGTTACACATTACAAATTAGTAATAGTAATCCTTTTTTCACAAGTGCACATTTTAAACAAAATAGATAAAATTGATTTTTAAAAAAATAAAAAATAAAAAAAATTAGTCTAATTTGGTCGAGTACCGGGCTGGTCCTTTTTTATTTGGGATGGTCCCCAGTCAAAGAAAAGAGTGTTATTCGGTCCGGGTTCAAATCAATTTACACCCCTAAGGCCCTAATGGCAAACACATGAAAATGTCTTCGGTAGGGATCCTCATGAAGAGAAACAATATGAGCATCTTAGCCAAAAAATTAAAATTAATTCGAAACAAATGATAGAAAATATATTTAAAAATTAAATCAAAAGTGATAGTTATATGGAGTATTACATTTTTTTTCTTATCAAAGGTTTGATGAAAAACATAATTTGAACATCTCAACAAAAAATGTCTCTTGGTAAGTTTTTAATACTCCGTAATATTGATAAATTTGAAAAACGTTAGAATTAAATGAAAATAGTTTTTTCGTATTCGAATACAAAACAATGAAGTAATTATAAATTTTTTGTTAGTATCAGTATGAAATACTTAAACAAAGATGTTGAAGTCATATTTTGTGTAATTTTCTCTTTTATTTGGCAATTGATTGTATTATAATGTAATGTTTGTTCGTACTTTCTTAGGCTCTGTTCCGTTCAACTTATTTTTTTCTGATCTGATCTGCTTTTTTGTAGTTCTGATCTGATCTGATTTGATTGGATCTGATCTGGTCTGGTCTGATATGATCTGATCTGATCTCATCTGATTGGATCTGATCTGATTAATTATGATTTGATTTAAAATTCAAATCAATAATTTGATTTGAGTTTATAATAACGTTTGAAAATTGTAATCATAATTCATATTATAATATAATCAATATTTTTTATTTTATAATTATTTTTTAATAAAATAAAATTAGTTAATTTATATATTAGAACAATCATTCATATTTTAATATAATAATATTTTTTATTTTATGACTATTGTTTGTGAAATAAGAATATTGATTTAATATTTTAATAATTAGTTCATACATGCATTAGAATAAATATTTAATTTATATAAAATCAATACAGAGAAGAGATAGTATTTTTATTAAAATATTTCATCCTTACAAAAGATCAAAACTTTAGAAACTCAAATTATAGGTAACAATAAAAATGTGTTTTAAAAGTAGAATTAGATTGACTTTGGTAATGTATTTTAAAAATAATTTTTTCGTCGTCAAATAATTAAGGATTAATTTCTCAGTTTTGTATTTAACTTGTTTCTAAATTTTATTCTTTTTAATTTTTAAGAACAACAACAACAATAATAATTTTTTATGGGATCTGATCTGATCTGATTTGTTCTAATCTGATTTGATCTGATCTGATTTTAATAAGAATAAGAAAAAATAAGAAAAAATAAATTGAGTGGAACAACACCTTAATGATACACAAAGAATTAGTGTCTCCGCATTCGATAGGGCTCACACTGGAAAAACTTTCCAACGAATCATGAGGAGGGGTCTTCGCTCCGCTCAGGCAAGGGCTTGGATAATAACAAAAATACATAATTACTTCATTGTTTACTAATTACTCTCTCGGTCCCCCAGTTTTTGTCCACTTTTGACTTTTGAAACTGTTTATCTAAGAATTTTGATTAATCAAATTTTCTCAATGTGTAAGCCTAAATATAGTCATGTGTGATCTTGTTTGATTTGTCTTAACATATAGATGATTAATATATAATTTCTATAATTTTTTAATATACAAATTACAAGATACAATGGATTAAAAAAGTGTACTGGATTGTGTATAAAAATGAAAGTGGACAAATACAATGAGACGGAGGAAGTATCTCTTATTTGTACAGGATATGGAGGGAGCACATAATCTTTGGAATTGTTTGCCAAGATAACTTTAACCAATCTTGGTTCGAAATTACTCCCCCGTAACGCGAAACATTGGGCGCGAACCTGAAAAAGTTTCGAATTCTTTACCGCCACGTGTCTATATCCCATTCGACATATTCACATCACTAGGATTGCGATCTGTAGCACGCTATCAAATCCAATCTGAGCCATTAAAATTCGAAATCAATCAACGGTTAAGAAGCTCTTCTCAGGAAAACACATCTGGAATTCCCAACCCGCGCTCTCAAAACCCCACCTATAAAATCGGACTCCGACGCAGATTTTCAACCACCGCCGTTTCAGAGCAAATCCCCGATAAGATTCACGTCCACGCGATTTGATCGTCGCCGAAATGGCTCGCACCAAGCAGACCGCCCGCAAGTCCACCGGAGGAAAGGCGCCGCGGAAGCAGCTGGCGACAAAGGCGGCGAGGAAGTCAGCGCCGGCGACGGGCGGAGTGAAGAAGCCGCACCGTTTCCGGCCGGGAACCGTCGCGCTGAGGGAGATCCGCAAGTACCAGAAGTCGACGGAGCTTCTGATCCGGAAGCTCCCGTTCCAGAGACTGGTGAGGGAGA